GAACGAGAAACGAGAAAACGAGATTACGAGAAAACGAGAAAACGAGAAAACGAGAAAACGAGAAAACGAGAAAACGAGAAAACGAGAAAACGAGAAAACGAGAAAACGAGAAAACGAGAAAACGAGAAAACGAGAAAACGAGAAAACGAGAAAACGAGAAAACGAGAAAACGAGAAAACGAGAAAACGAGAAAACGAGAAAACGAGAAAACGAGAAAACGAGAAAACGAGAAAACGAGAAAACGAGAAAACGAGAAAACGAGAAAACGAGAAAACGAGAAAACGAGAAAACGAGAAAACGAGAAAACGAGAAAACGAGAAAACGAGAAAACGAGAAAACGAGAAAACGAGAAAACGAGAAAACGAGAAAACGAGAAAACGAGAAAACGAGAAAACGAGAAAACGAGAAAATTATATTAAATAATTGAATTGTTGTTATTTTAAATAGTTTAATATTGTTAATGTATATAATTTTTATATTACATATCTAATAAATAACAATATTGTTTAAATGTTATTTATTTATAACGAACTTTATATAATTATAAATGTGGAGAGGTAACAATTTATAAATATAGTTTCTTCATATCTATTAATAACAGAACTTCTGGGGAGTTATAAATATATATATATTTGCCGATTTTTTTCTTCGAGTAAAATAGTACCAAAATGCCACACTATGATTTTAATACCCACCAAACTGCTTAACAACTTTTTGAACAGAGTTTGCAAAAGATATCTTCCCCCAAACACATTTTTGTTTTCCACTCAACTTCTTCCTCAAACACTTCATGCAGTCGTTATGTGCAAAGAATACTCCTGATATATAGGTGGGAATGAGGGAAATTTGTTTCACTTTGGTTTAATTCAGTTTTTGTTGTTTGCTCAATGTCAATACGGCAAGTTTGGCAATTTCCTTGTTGATTTCCAAGAAGTGGTACTTTGATTAGTTGTGATTTAACCCGAGATTTGACGCTTATCCAACTTCTTGCATTAATCTGACTGCAGTGAGTCCATCAACCAGACATTGGGATACCTTGACAACCAACTGTTTGCTACATTCATACTCGGGACTGGGGGGTTTGGGGGACTGGGGACACTGACACAGTGGTCTTTTGTCGACTTGAATCCAAGCCGGCATCTGTTTGATTATACATTGTTATATGGTATAATATTATATGTTGTAAAATAAAGTAGAAAAACAACCTTGCATTTAATTGTGATTGAATATGAAATTTGTGTTTAAATAATAAATTGTTCGTTATTTTTTTAATCTTTGAGTTTCTTTATGATAAAAAATACGATAAGTTATTAAAACAATGTTGAAATACAAACACGTTCGATCTTTTATGCCTTTTTTGACTTTTTAAGGGTTTATAATGCATTGAATGCTCACAAATTGTCTGTATTCTCGATTCAAAAACAAACTCCAAACAACATTTAATTATAATTGTACTTTCATTTTTTTCACATTTACAAACAATGTTATAATGTATAATTATTATAATTATTAATTTTATTTCGAATTGTAAAAATAACAGTCAATTTTTTATAAAAAATTCAAATAAATTGTTTATTTAAAATAAAACAAGATGTTGATTTATGATTTAATTAATTAAAGTATGTTTAACTTTTTTCGATATGTTTACTATAATCTTATCGATTTACAAAAGCAATTTTTATATTAACATTGAAATGAAGTTTTTATGTTTTGAATATTTTTAATTTATATTTAACTGGTATTTATAAAAATAAGAAATATTGAAATATTCTAAGAAACCTTATCAAAAATATCGTATATTTTTAACATGCAAAAAATAATTTGAATTAAATTTTAAACCTTTTACATTTGTTTTAAAGAGCCTTTGTTCTATATAAAAAACATTATGACAAATAATAACTTTTTTTATTGATTAAAAATATTTATAAAAACAACAGGAACAACAAAACAAATGTTGTGATTATATTTCTATATATAAATTGAACAATCCGAGTTATTTTTACATCACATTTAAGTTGATTGGGGGTAAATTGACAAACATAAAATTTATTTTGTTGAAAATGTCAACATTTGAATATTAAAATATTGATTTATTAATTAATTGACATAATAATTGTATCACTGTACTAACGTACGACAAGAAATAAACAATTTGTAAAAATTAAATTTTTTAAAAATAAATTTATATTTAAATTATAATTCTCAAAATATTACTTTTAAATTAAATTTCAACTAATCTCATTGTTTATTAAAATTTTTATTTACAACAGCTTTAATTCTCAGCTTATTTAAATAATCAATTGAACTCTCTCTAAGTTGACTTTAACTTGAGTGTTGTGGTTTATAACATTATTTGAATTGTAAAAAATGTTTTTAAATTTATCTGTTGAGGAGGTTTTGATACACATATTACATTTTTTCTTTTTTTAAAAAAAACTTTAACGATTGATTTGGTTCAAGTAATTGAAATTTTTAAGTCTTTGTTTAAACTATAATAATTCATTTTATTTTCGTATAATATATATGAAATAATATCACAATTATTATAAATGAGTGATATTTTTAACAAGTGGGTGGCTAAACAATAATCACTTTTACAGTCGACCGAGGTCTGAACTTATATTAGTTGGCACAATCCTCACATTTAATTTTTTCAATATTTCCTTCAATGAAAATACAGTAAAAATCCAACATTTATGACTTCCAATTTTGCAGTTTCTGAATTAAAAGGAGTATATTTGAAACCCCACTATTGGGATTCACGTTTATATCTATAAGTTAATGTTGTGTATCTTGGATATGGGAGAGTTAATACACAGTTAGTTTTTGAAACAATTGTTATTACATTTTTTAAATTCACAACAATTACACAATTCAATTTATTTATTTGAAGTTATCAAATCATTTTTGAAGAGTTTTAAGACTATTCAAATAATCCAAACTCGTTTTTGGTGGAAATTTAGTATGAAAAATAAAAAATTTCAAGGGGTGTGGAAATTGCACCAAAAAGTATTCCTTTGTTGTTTTTTTCTTAAATGTAATTTCCTTTCACTTCGACTCGTTCAAGCGAATTTATTGAGATATAGGAGTCTATTGGACAATTTATTGTTGTCACATAAATGTCAGATGGTATTCACAATTTGTGAATTTCAGTGTTTATTTTACTTGTCACTAAAAGTTCAAATCTCTTTGTTTTGATACTAATGAAAAAATCGTGTCCATACAATTTGAGTAAAATCCACATTAAGTGTTTCAATAATTTTATTTTTGGTTTCATTTGCAAATTGCGCCAAAACATTTGAGTACAACACGACATATTTCAAATTGTGGTTTTTGTGTTATACTCTTTGACCTATTTATCAAAATTGAAAAGTGCGCCCTTCAAATTACACAGTTTTTTTTTCTAAAGTTTTTTGTTTATACTAGAATTTTTAGTTGCAATTCCAACATAAATTTTGTAGTTTTTACTAAAAAAAGTACTGTGATGTTTTTTTATATAAACAACAATATATTAATAAAATTGAAAAGTTATTTATTTTATTTTTTAATTGCTTTCTCATGTTGACCAAAGTAGATACTTATTTAGAACACAACCTTTCTCATTCGAAGTAGTTGATATAAACAAGTCAACTTTTTGAATTTATTTTAAAGCACTTACTTCACAGACAAATTCTTCTTTTAAATAATACATTTAAAATAGAAATTTAAACTCATTAACCTAACTAATTTGATCAAATAAACATCTTTTAATTTAATTTTAAGCTTACTTAACGGTTCTTTCATAATTTTTAATTTAAAATATAATGAAGTAAAAAAGGCAATACACCAAAGTTCTTTGTGAGGGTTTTATGTACCATCGGAATTACTTTGATTGATTGTTTGTATAGTTTTGAAATGTTGTTGTAATATCTTAATTGAGAACTACATTTAATAAATAAATTAATTCATGTTTATTTATTAAACTTCTTATAATAAAAATTAAAGTTTAAATACTCATGTTGAAGTTTTGATTTGAAATAAAGTACAATTAAAGTGAAGAATACAATTCACTTGACATTTTTGATGTAATAATCAATGTTATATCATGGGGGATAAACATTTTCAATTTAATCACAATCCAGTGTTTATTTGTTATTTTAATCAAATTATACCAAATTTATAACATAGTCATTAAAATTTTATTTGTAAAACAATAGGTTCTTTTTTAATTAATATAAAAAATTAATAACAATAATATTTCTATATTATTAATTTTGTTTTTTAAATTTTGTTTTGTACAGTATTATATACAATAATATTTCATATTATTGTTTTTGTTATAAAAATTTAGTAAATTAAATATTATATATACTATTTGACAGTTTAATTCATTGTATTATATTTAATTGTAAACTAATGTTATTGCAAGGAATAGATTATATCTATATATGAAATCGATAAGTAACTCAAGCTTCAATCTTTTAAGTTGAAGATTTATATAAGTCAATCTTGTTTTCGATAACAAGACTATAAATTACAATTAGTTTGAAATAAGGGATATATCGAACTATTAGGTTTTAATAAAGAACCTAATTTATATTATTATATCACAAAAAAGTAGCAAAAAAGTGCTTTTGAAAAATTGTGAGCAGACTTTTTGCTGGATTTTTTTATAAAAATACATATTGAACGAAACTAGTGAATTGATACTGAAAAGTATAGTAAATTAATTACAAATTTATAGTAAAAGTTTAGTTTCCAACTACTTGAAAAAATGTATCCAACTATAAAAAAGCAATTAATTTCCATATTACACAGAGGATCGATGAGCGTCGCAGCGCAACTTCAAGACTTTGAGGTATTTAATGTGAACCCAGACCCTAATGAAATTATGGTAAGAAACCAAAAACCCATTGAACAAGGTACAATTGGGTTCTTTTCACTCTACAGATATGCAAATTGGGTGGACATATTTTTATTTGTTTTTGGCACGTTTGGTTCATTTGCATCAGGAGCGCTTAAACCCTTGACAACTTTAGTATATGGGGATTTAGTGGATGTTTTTGCATTTCGAGTAAATGAGGATATCATTTCAATGCCGTTAGAAGAACAAGTCAAATACAATTATCAATTAGTTTGTTAGTTATATCACTTTAATGACAAATTTGTTGTTTACATCCAAGAGCTTTGAAACCCTTTTAAATACTTTTTGTTACCATTAATATATTCAATTAGAGTTAAATATAATGCTAACCAATAGGAAGAAACTATTTCATCATCCATTGATACTTTATGTCTAAGAATGCTTCTCTTTGGTTTAAGTGAAGGTGTAGGATACTTTATTCTAAAATTCTGCTTCTTTGTTGTTTCAGAACGACAAGGCATCAAAATTAGACTGCTTTATATGCGCTCTTTATTAAGACAGGACTCTGCTTGGTATGATTTCCAAGAAGCTGGAGAGTTAACAACTAAAATCACAAGTGATGTGAAAACCATATCAGATGCTATGTCTCCAAGATTTGGTGCACTCTTCCAAACAGTAGGTACGTTATTGTCTTCGTTTGCTCTTGGCTTTGCAAAGTGTTGGGACTTAGCACTTGTGTTAGTTGCGATGATGCCATTTATCATGATCATTTTGTTCTTTCTGGAATTTGGTGTTTCTAAATTGACTCAAAAAGCCGATAAATACACAACAAGTGCAGGTGGACAAGCGGAGTCGACCATTGGCAACATCCGCACCGTACAATATTTAAATCAAGAAAACAACTTTGCGTCGTCTTACAATGACAAGATGAACAAGGCTGAAAAGTTTTTATACATCAGAGGAAGTCTAACTGGACTTGGGATAGCAGTTGCAATGTTCATTATGTTTGGTTCCTTTTCACTTGGGTCATGGTACGCTTCAATGATCATAAGAGGACATGGCGGGTCTAAAAATACATCGGCTGGTACTGTTATGACAGTCTTCTTCTCTATTATTACAGTGATGCAAATGTTGCCGACTATTGGAACACCACTTGAGTTGCTTTCTAAAGGAAAAACAGCGGCATTTCGAATATACAATACCATTGATAGAATACCAAATATCGACACTAAAGATAATTCAGGAAAAAAGCCTGAAACATGCGATGGAGAAATTGTGTTTGAAGATGTGCAATTTAGTTACCCAAGTCGACCTGAAAAAACCATTTTGAATGGACTTGATTTGACAATTGAAAAAGGAAAGACAGTGGCTCTTGTTGGAGAGTCTGGCTGTGGGAAGAGTACTACAATACAGTTGATTCAACGAATGTATGAAATCAGTGGCGGGTCGATAAAAATAGATAACACCAAAATACACGAATTGAATGTCAACTGGCTAAGAAGCCAAATTGGGATAGTTGGACAAGAGCCTGTGTTATTTAACTGCTCTATTAAAGACAACATACTTCTTGGGGCAAAAGAAGATCAAAAAGTGGCAGATGATGATATCAGTGAAGTCTGCAAAATGGCGAATGCAAGTGACTTTATTAATAAATTACCAAATAAGTATGACACCCTTGTTGGTGATAGAGGGGCACTTCTATCTGGTGGTCAAAAGCAGCGAATTGCAATTGCAAGAGCTTTAATAAAGAATCCACAAATTTTACTATTAGATGAGGCTACAAGTGCACTCGACACACAAAGTGAAAAAGTTGTGCAAAATGCCTTAGAAAAGGCTGGTAAAGGTAGAACAACAATAATTGTCGCACATCGACTTTCAACAGTGAGAAATGCAGATTTGATTTGTGTGTTCCATCAAGGAGAAATAGTAGAGAAAGGGACACATAACGAATTAATGGATTTAAAAGGGACTTACTACAACTTAGTCAAACGGCAATCTTTAGAAGAAGAGGCGGATCAAGACGACGTTGATCAAAAGGTGAAAGAATCCATGACATTAAAAGACAACAAAGTTGAAGATTCTCCTCTTTCTGATGATATTAAAAATGTTAACGAAGAAAACGATGAAAAAGTTGAAGTAATAGCTGATGAAGAAAACGTCCGAATCAAACAAGAGAGAATTGAAAAGGAACAAAAAACACTGAAAACTTCGAATCGATTTTCACTGTTTAAAGTGGTGGTTGAAAACATTAAGAAAGACCCAATTGCATTTACCATTGGTGTTTTGGGTGCACTTGGTGGGGGTCTTGTGATGCAGTTTTTCATGTTGGGGTATATTGACGCGTTGGTCTATTTGCTAGAGATCAACCCGACGACTCCAGCAAACAGTCCGTTACTCCAAAATTTCTATGACAAATTGTTAGAACTTTTCTTATATTCGATAGGGATGTTATTCACTATATATTTCTATGCTGGACTGTTACTATCATCCAAAGAAAAATTGAGTATTCGAATAAAAACAATGTTGTATTCAAACTTGTTACAACAGAATGTCGAGTACTTTGATAGAAAGGAAAATTCGTTAGGATCAGTGATGAACAAGTTAAATAGTGACACCAACTACGTCGTTGGGATCACTGGAGACAACTTGGGAAATGTTTTTGAAATTCTGTCTGAGTTTGTGAGTGGTGTTGTAATTGGGATGTACTATGATTGGCGGCTTGGGTTGTGTTCATTGGCCATATTTCCAATTTTAGTGTTCTTTATGTACATGGACGGATACTTAAATTCAGAACAAAGTTCGCCAGCAATTAAAGCTTATGAGAAGTCTGGAAACACCTTAATAGAAGCAATTGAAGCTATTAAGACAGTTCAATCACTTGGCAAAGAGAAGTTCTTTTATATGAAATATGCAGAGAGTCTTGAAAATCCAAGAAAAGGGATTTTCAAGTGGGGATTCTTTTTGGCGTTTTTTGAGGCAGTAAACAACGTGGTATATGGTACAATCGACTCGTATATGTTCTACGTTGGATTTAAAATAGTCAAAAAGCGATTTAATTATCAACAAGAGTATATAGGATTTATGCAACAAGTTGTGAATGAGTATTCTATCATGCAAAAGGGGACGTATCCTGTTATATCTGCTTCTATGTCATGCATTCGAATTGGTCAAATTATTCCAGAAATGGGAAAGGCGCAAGGAGCAGCCAAAAGGATATTTGATATCATTGATAGAAAAAATGATATTGTGGATATAGACCAAATTACAAGTTCAAAGAGTGACAAATCAAATGAAAAGTACGAACAATTTGAAGACAAAAATTCGCCTAAAATTGAAGAATACAAAATTGAAAAGAATTTAAAAATTGACGAAGAAATTGGAGGGAATTTGTCGTTCAAAAATGTGTATTTCAGATATCCAACACGACCAGAAAATAGCGTCTTAAAAGGTCTTGATTTTACTGTTCAGAAAGGGAAGACTGTTGCTTTAGTTGGAGCTTCTGGCTGTGGAAAAAGTACTACAATACAACTGATAGAGAGAATGTATGACACAACTTTTGGAACAATCGAAATAGATGATAAAGATATTAAAACACTTCCACTCCATAAATTAAGAGAAAGTATTGGAATGGTCGGACAGGAGCCCGTGTTGTTTAGTGAATCGATATTGGACAACATTAAACGAGGAAGTTCAGACAAAGTCTCTATGGAAAAGGTCATTGAAATAAGCAAAATGGCTAATGCACACGACTTTATTAGCGCACTTCCTGAAGGATATAATACACTTGTTGGTGATAGAGGAAGTCAGATGTCTGGTGGACAGAAACAGCGAATTGCAATTGCAAGAGCTCTAATTCGAAATCCAAAGATTTTGTTGTTGGATGAGGCTACAAGTGCACTCGACAGTGTATCGGAAAAAGTTGTGCAAAGTGCATTAGAAAATGCAAGTAAAGGAAGGACAACAGTTGTAATTGCACATCGACTTTCAACAATTCAAAATGCAGATGAAATTTGTGTTGTTATTCGTGGTAAAATTGCTGAGAGAGGAACACATGAAGAGTTAATGAAAATGAAAGGATTTTATCATGCTTTGGCATCTCAGCAATTTGGTACTAATGATTGATTAATATTTTTGTTGTTTAGTACCTTTTTATTTTTCACTCCATAAATAAAAATGTATAAATCAGAAATGTCTATTACAAAAAGACATTATTTCCTTTATAATGAATACTTTTTGATCAAATTCTTATTTTATATCCTTTTTAATGTTTTTAACAGAAAAAAACAACACTGAAAACAATTATTTTTGTTGTTGAACAATAATAGACACCTTTTTCTTTTTTGATATTTAACTCAAAAAAATATTTTTGAGTAAAAAATATATTTTTAACTCAAAATAATCAAATTATCAATTATTTGGACTATAAATAAACTTCAAAAAGGTATAAATTTTGATAAGTTCTTTGAAAAAACACACTTTTAAATTACTT